TTGTCTGAAATCCGACAATCGCGACCCGACCCGCGAGGCGGCCGATGCTATCGCTAGGCCCACCTGTATCAGTCAATGTGCGTAGTGCGAGGCCTGGCTGACTGCCAGCGACCCCTTTTTCTCCCGCCGGCTTCGTCGGCACTTTCGTTTTCGTGCCGACCGCCGACTGCCGACGTCGGCGTTTCCGACATAATTGTCGGAACCTAAGTAGAAATACGAATACGAAAAAGGATGACAAACTAAATTATCTACTTTCAGTTTCGTGCTCGAGCGGCCATTTTGAATTTAGTTTGTTTACTAATTCAATTGTTCAGATCGTGTGGATTCATTCAAGTCAGACTCTCTTGTTCTAATAGAATCTAGATCTAGATCTAGATCTAGATTTATATAGATCATTATAGACCTCAATGGAGGATTCATATTCCAATTCTGTTGTGTCAAACCCTATCATAGGTTATGCTGTAATATTAATATTGGTAAAAATAAGCATTTCATCAGGTGCGTGAATTATTTATTTATTTAGATCTAGATTTCTTTTCTCTGGAAACTCTGATGTCAGTAACTGTAGCAATGCAACTGAGGGTGTTCACACCATCAGATTTGAGAAGAACGTGTGAGTCAAAAATACTCCACAGAGTGCGGAAATGGCTTTCTTCAGGCTTCTTCAATTAATCGAACGTAGTCGATAGGAAGGAAAATCTTCTTATTCTTTATTCGTACCGTCTTTCGATAACGCAGTGGACGTTATCCACCTCAATCATCGAGTGGCCCCTCGCAAGTATTTTCTGCTCTACTTCCTTGTCATGCATCACGGAGAACATGGAAAGAGCAGTGGCTAATGTTTTGTTTCTGTTCTGAAAAGTACATCCATCGGAATAGATGATGTACATATCAAAAGACAGATCACTTACCAGGTAATCCACAATGCATGAAGCAAATTCGTGAGCAGACAAGCCCCTTTCCAACTCGTGCCAGACATAGCATTGGACACCATGTGACTTTAAATCAAATATTGTGAAGTTATGGACACAGAGTCTGGTCCTATAGTAAATGCCGATGCTTTCAGCATGGGGCAAAGCAAAACTGACTGTAGATCCACAGTAATGACCTTTGTCATGTCGTTATTTTGGACCATTTCCTCATCTCCTGCCATCTCTTGCTGTGCCCTTTCTTTCTTCTGCCCTTGAGCCAGATATGTCTTCATCGACATTGCCTTCATCAGAGACATATTGATCTTTGCGCGGTTTGAAAAGAGAAAGATTCATTTTCTGTAATTCATCGTCAAGAATTGGATGAGAAAGAGCTTCCATCTTCTTTTCTTTACATTTTGTTTCATAGAGATGAAATAGATCGGTCCTGCAATGAAAACTGCCTCTAAATATAGCTTGGAGCTTTTCTTTCGGCAATAGTGAGACTCTGTTTTAGGCAGACTTTCAAGGAAGGCTCGCAGATGTAATTGCGCATCAGAGTCAGATGCTGGTCTCCGAGAAGACTCATTCACTGTTCATACACCATCACCTAGTCCTCCGCGATGCTATCTCACATACCGTACCATTCCTTGAGTCCTATTGTGGACAAAAACGTCTGACAGCAGACCCTGAATCTGCCTCTACTGGTTTTCAGAAAATACTGCAGGGACGTAGTCCTACAGGATGCTGCAGACGCTGCTTTTTTCTGTTTGGCTGGTACCTTGCATACATGTCCATGCAAAAATACACCATTCTCTGGCCAGGGCGGCGATAATAAGAAATAAAATATTTCCTACCTCTCTTCTTCTGTGATATTCGAACACTGATTACACTTGACCTTGCAAGAGCATCTTTCCTCGAAGTTCTTTTATCCTTTTCAACGTTCTCAAACCCTGTATCGCCTTCCTTCATAAGATTGCCCTGCTTCATGTTTCTTGAGTTCACAAATCTCTCCCAGTTTTCTCTTCCAAGCTTTCTCTTCTTTCCATTGAATATTCTCACATTATCGCTGTCGTTTCCATCACCACATGATCGATCAACAAGAGCCTCACCTCTATCAACACATATATTGGAATGGAATCAACGTGTTCGCCTCTCTGGTCAGTGATATTCAAATCCAAATCTTCATCATACATGTTGGAATCAATAATTTCACCTACAGGATCAGTGCCATTTAACAACTCAAAAGCTTCAACTCTACCATCATATATATTGGAATAAAAAAACTTCATCTCCACCGTCATATGCATGAATTAAGAACATCTGCTGCAATCAGCATTCACAAAAAGAGACCCATTTCTACCATCACACACCTTCACATCATGAGCCTTATTTCTAGTATCACATATTTTCACATCAAGGACCATTTCTCCACCATCATTTACATTCACATCTGTTTCTCCATTATCGAGTATAGACATACTCAAATCAAGAACATCCTGAAAATGACTAGATCTATCGTCATGCAGGTCAGCAGCAGTTTCAGTGACTACATTCTTCCCCATAGCCTCATTGTGATCAAAATACACTAAATCACTGCTATTCACTGACATGTCTACAAATGAGTCAATGATATATCCCAAAAATTGTCCAGTGGTTCATACAGAGAAGGCTCGTGGGCATGTCCCTCTTAGGAGTGAGGACGGGCATTTCCCTTAGAGAGGTGCTGGGTATGTCCCCTGGACTGTGGTCATGGAGGCTTCACTGGAGGGTTTGCTGCTTCTTTTTTAGACAGCTGTAACAGTTTATAGCTTGGTGAAAAGTGGTTCATGACTGAAATATAAATAATAATATAAGTAGTTATTAAAGGTATAATAAAGTATGCGTCTTCTAAAGTAAAAATAAATTTGAATGTTTCAAAAAATAATCCTCACTTCTAAAGGCGTTTGACTTTGGAAACACTTATCTTATAGCAGGTTAAAATATAATAACGATCAATCCACATTGCTGAGATACATCTATGACTAATTAATACCCAACAATTAATCAACATTGATGAGATCTAAACCTGTGACAAACAATACATAATAATTAATCTATATTATTGAGATCTAAACGGTGTGAATGGGCTTAATCTTTCACATGAAAACTAAACGCGTAAGTCTTGACAATCTCCTTGCAAGTCACCTTGAAGCTTACAGAATAATGGGTGACTTTGTAAGCTCTAAATGCTGATGTCACAATGTATCACACAAAACAAAGATTTATCTAAATAAACACATAATAATTTAGAAAAGTATCTTACATTCACATCTTAATATGAGGGAAGAAATGGTATAACTCACCTGTAGGCTATTACTTGAACCAAAAATGAAACAAAATTATTGTTTTAAACAAAGGTGCTGGGCTGGGACTTCTGCGTTTAGAGTTTCAAATCAAGGTGAAATCCTGTTACGCGCGTTTAGAATCCGTGACAAAAAGTGCAATTTTCATTTGTTCAATGACTTTAATATTTATAGAGGAGGTGTGGATAACCCATTGGAGGGAAATAAAACCAAAATATTATTTTCCAAAATTCCGGACTTAAACGTTTAGAGACTTACAGGGACGATATATATATTTACACTGATTTTTAAACATTTAAACATTTTAAGATTTAAGTACTTACTCGAGCCAGCCGTATAGTAAACTGTTGTGAACAAAACTAACTTGTGTTTTGCACGCTCATATGAACTTATGCAGTTGTGAGCGCCGTAAAACCCTATACTATACATACATACCCTTGTCTCCATAGTCCCGTCATTATGTTGATCCCTGCTTTACTGGAGAGTTTCTGTCTTCATTTGTATGGACATGATACATTGTTCATTCTGCTCTACTTCCTTGTCATGCATCACAGAGAACATGGAAAGAGCAGTGGCTAATGTTTTGTTTCTGTTCTGAAAAGTACATCCATCGATTTATCTTTTTCAAAGGAAATTCCTTTCATTTCTCCCATGGGTTTTTTAAATGTTTATTTTTTGTCATATTTATTTCAGTTGTGTTCATTTTTTCATATTCCTTGCACATTTCCCTTTATTTTGGAATATATTATGACCACATTTGATCTATTATAAAGAAAATAATAGGCCTCAATAGGTTCATGGGCTAGCCCAACCTGCCTGGAACAGACGTGGAATTGTCCCTAGTGTGGAATGAGTTAAGCAGAGCCATGTTATCTTTCCCTTTACTTCGAACAGTGCTTCCAATCTTACGGAAATCCGTACTTTCCGACAGTTCCTTGTAAGCCTTGTTATTGATGAATTAAGTGTTTGTGTTTCATTGGATGGGTGATAGTGATCATAAATTATTACAATATTTTAGCTTTCTATTCAAGATTGGCAAATTTTCAGTGTCACTGCATCATGCCCTACCTCAGTTCTTGCAACTCTGACAGTGATAGGTCAACTTGAGCCATTCAAGTTATTTCTCTACTTTGAGTTTGAGCAATTATCTTGGTGAAAAAATTAGATGTTACGGGTTGTTGGTATTATCTTCATACAGGTTCCGAAGTGCCATTTTTTAACCCTCTAAAAGCACTAAATTTCAATTTCTTCAGGGGCTTTGCCCGCAGAACCCCCACTGGGACGCTGGTCCTGGACTCTGTGGGCGGCCCCCACACCCTTTGCAGAATTTTCCTTACTTTTCATCTTCAGCTGTTGGGAGCACTGAAAAAAGAAATGTAGCAGCTGCAGTGATATTTTTATGTGTATGTTAACGATACATTAGTTTGGGTCTCTCTAATCTGTGGCACCTACTTCTATATGACCAATTTGTGTTGCAATTGTCATAAAAGCACTTGCTAAAACTATCTTTTCTTCCACACCAAATGATTATTATCATATCAGTGTTTTTCTATACCCAAAACCACTCAATGATTGGAGGGGGCGGTTGGAGGGTGCCACTGGTAGTTCCTACTTCTTTTCTTTTCCATACTTTTATTCTGCTTTAAATCACATTTATTGTATTGACGTGCATCCTTAAGTAAAAAAACAAACAAAAACAGACCCAATCATTCAAATGCTCATCATGTTGTTGTATGCTTGTTTTCAGATTTGCCGAAAGGGTCGCCAGCACATCATGAAATATCTTCAGATTGAAGCGATCAAGGAAGACAGGAAGCGGGGCATCATGGTCAGCAACGACGCGGACATGAAGCGCTTTGTCCGCAAATCTCTGCCTCCACAACAGTATGTCATCCTGCCCCTGCCCCATATTTCCCTATTTGTGTGTGTGTGAACAGAAGGAATGCTTGTGAGCTGGCTTTGTGTGTATGTATATACAGTCGATCCTGCCCTAATGGCCACCTGTCTAAAACAATCACCTGTTCAAGTGACTACTTCCCACTTTCTCCCATGAGTTTTTTCTACATGTGTCATGACACTATGGAATAAGACGCTTGTCAATTTTTGGACGTATGGAGTCATTGGTATCATTTCAAAGCTTGTTCACTTGTCTTATTTTAAATGAAATAAGTCTATCTTGAAAATAGGTTATTATATTGGAATTATTTGTATTATCTTTAAGCTTGTTTATTTGTCTTGCTTTTGATTAAAGAAACACTCATCTGTCTTGAAAATAAGTCACGATTTTTGCTATTTAATAATTTGGGAGTCACTTGGTATTGGAGGTAAAATTAGCAAGAAAATGGCCCCAAAAGTTTTGTGACTTTCAAAACTTGAGTGTTCTTGGAAACTTTATAAATTTGCATTTTTGTGCCATTGATCAATGTAGCAATGCCAATCGAGCTTTCCTGCGTGGCGAAAATTTTGTGCCCATTTGCGGGTGAATTTTTTTATCGGGCCGTAGCGTAGGTGACTAACTTTGTCAACCTCGGTCTGCTCTATGTCTGGACCAATGTGAATGATACTCGGCAACCAATCAGAAAATAGGGCAAACTAATGATATGTGGACGTTGAAGTTGGCACACATAAATTAACCTATATTTTTAGTGTCGGGAACACTTTTGTATCGGGTGTACCAAAAACTATAAGGAGCTTGAATTTCAACGCCGAGATAGTAATAGATCTATCCTCTATAGTGTGCTCAAATTTGAACGTTCCGTGTCAAGTAGTTGTTTAGACCCGATCATAAATGCATGACTACCCCCCTATTCATAACGGCTTCGCACAGAGACCGGCCATTTTCCCCTCACTCTCGCGGCAAATGTATGTGACCTATAAATCCGATCCCCGCATGACTATTCGGAGCCCGTTCATTGGTCACTTGAAAATAGGGCAATGTCCGGCGCGCGCATCCGGTTGTTTTTCTCTCTGTTCCGCTGTAACAACGCAATGGGGGTATTTCGAGGCGAGCTTATCTCGCCTCTGGGTGTTTGCATCTCAACCGGAAAAAAGAATTTTAATTGTACGGCTTACTAGATTGAATTAACTTGTCTTTTAAGATTGGCATGGTCTAAAGTCATCAAAGAAAGCTTTGCCATTGTTTAGTATCGCTGCTGACATATATTCTTAAAGATGACATCTTGTGATAGATGCTATAAATAAAATGGGACTCATCCTGACACCCCTTTTTCGCAAAGTCGTAATATGTACACCAAAATTTGAATTATAACAAAATAACTACGAAATGTTTAGTAAATCTGACGGCAGAAATGATTTCTCCACCCATAAACACATCGGGTAGCCAAGTTTCTCTCTAACACTCCGATTAATCACCAAGATATCGTCGATTATCTTACAGAATCTGCTACTGCATGGTCCACAGTTTTGGAGTATTTTCCTATATGTGGGTCATCCATATTTTGCCGACATTTACAACCCAATTACTTTTTTATTTATGAACCGATTCTTAAAATTCAAGAAGCATAGTTCTAAGAATTAAAAATTCTTTCTTAGGTACCAAATAAAAAAGGGCTAAAGCGAAAAATTAAATTTTCATTGGCATTGCTAATCAATGTATTTCAGTAAAATCTACACAAAAATGTGTTTTTAAGGGGATGTAAAATGTGTTGTGCGAAAAGTCGAAAACAAATTTACATAAAAAGTGCTCAGTGGGCAGAAAAGTATCGGTTTGTGTTCATTATTTTGACAAGAGACTGATTTCACCACGATGACACACATACTAAAGTGACACTGTCCAAAATGTCTATCTGTCTAACCAACTACTTTTTTCCTCGACAATGGGTGGCCATCTTGGATAATTTTGATTGTATATCAATGGCTGTAAGCAGTACTCCAACTAGAGTCAAATTACAAAAGGTTGTTTGTCGAAGTCTTGTGTCCAGTCATCAATATAATATAGTCTCTGCATGTGTTTGTTTGTTTGTTTGTTTAGTATAGGGTTTTACGGCGCTCGCAACTGCATAAGGTCATATGAACGCGCGGGACACACCTAATACTTTTTCGTTGGTAGGAAATTTTGAATTTTACCCGGGTGGCGGCCGAAGCCTACTCTTATCGATTTTAGACCACCAAGGGATCTTTAACGTGCGCAACTTGCACACGGGCCCTCCGAGATTTTTCGCCCTTGTCCGAGACGGCTAGGTGTAGATCTTTCCTACCAGAAGATCAGGGGTGTGGCAGAAAGACAGCAGTTAGGAGGAGCCAAGGAGTAGCAGTAGAAAGGCTGCAGAAAGAGTCAGGAGCCCAGAGGAGGGGGCAAAGGAGGTGAGGGGGTGGGGGCAGAAAGTGGAAATGAAAGCAGATGACAGAACATTGTTAGAGATCAGGAAAGGATGTGAAAGGAGACAATTTTAGAGAAGAAAAATGTTTTTGTCTCTACCCGGAATCGAACCCGAGACCTTTGAATGAGAGGCCAACACCTTAACCTCTAGGCCACGAGAGCCCCCGCATGTGTTTGTGTGTGTGTGTGTGAGAGAGAGATCTAGTGTGATTGTACTGTCATTTTGTACATCTGTCCTGTATTTGTATTTTTTGTGCTTACCGAGGTTTAGATTCTGTTCTTTACCGCTTTTGTATCTCATCAGTGGGCTATTTAACTGCATAAGGCCCAGTAAGTAAAATTTTCCAAGACAAAAAATAAAAAAGGTTTTATTTTTTCTTGCTTTTTTTTCAACATTTAGAATTTGAATTTTGCTTTTGAAGCACAAGTACAGATTGAGAAGCTGCATTAAACATACATTTTAGGAAATGTTGGGCTCAGCACCTGTGAACAGCTGGCTGATATTTTGTATAACTGGAAGGAGACAAAACTTTTATGTGACTTAAATTTGTGGTTGGGGTCAATTAATGGTTGACCCAGCTTGCTTTCCTTCCGTTTGTAATTTGTCTTGTTTTTTCCATGAACTGAATAATGTTCATTGTGGTGATGTGCTTCTCTTTACTCAAAGCAATACATGTATGGTTGCAGACCGTCGGAGGACATGCGGAACATGCTGGGTGGCTCCGAGTCCAAGTGGAAGCGTCACACTGTGCTTAGCAACGACTCAGGCTACAGCACCACAGACACATCAGGGGACCGCAATGGCTGGCACAGTGCCGAGGTCAGTCACCATTACACACACTTTCTTTCCTCTATTGCGCTTTCAATGTGTGCTGGGTGAGGAGGAACTTGTGTCGTAGGTTTTGTGTTCTCTGCAAGTTATGTGTGTTACTGTTGTGTTGAATCTGTGTTATGTGTGTTACTGTTGTGTTGAATCTGTGAGTTACGTGTGTTACTGTTGTGTTGAATCTGTGAGTTATGTGTGTTTCTGTTGTGTTGTGCCTATGAGTTGTGTGTGTTACTATTGTGTTGAAATCTGTGAGTTGTGTGTGTTACTGTTGTGTTGAATCTGTGAGCTGTGTGTGTTAGTTGTGTTGAATCTGTGAGTTGTGTGTGTTACTGTTGTGTTGAATTTGTGAGTTATGTGTGTTACTGTTATATTGTGTCTGTGTGTGATGTGTGTAAGAGCAAAATGACAAAGTCTTGTTTTTGTCTCTTGTCTGAGAGCAAATGGTAATCTTGTGTTTTGTCTTAGTGCTGATGCTATAGCTTGTTCACTTTGATCTGTCTGTGTTAAAAATATTTGTGAATTTGCCAATGGGCATGTAACTTTCCATGGCACTCCTATAGGCTAGCAACCAAACAAAAAAATATATGTCACGACGCGGTGGAATCAGGAGCTTGTCAATTTTCGGGCATGCTGAATTATTGTGTTCATTCTAAAGCTTGTTCATTTGTCTTGCTTTCGGTGAAAAAAGTACCAATTTATCTTGTATGCAGGGCGAGGTATTGGCGATTGAAGGAGGTGGGGTCACCGGTTTCAGAGGTATAATTAAAGAGAAAATGGCCGCCAAAGTTTAGTTATTTCCTTAGCTTAGTTCCGTGGGAACTGTAAATTTACATTGTTTGTTCCTTTAATCAACGTTTTTCCAGTAAAATCCACACAAATGTGTTCTTTAAAGAACGTGAAAGGTGTTGAACCAAAAATAAAAATTCTATAAAAATGTCCAAATCTGCGGAAAAATGGCTGTTTCTTCACTTTCATTTTTTGGACGAGCACCGGATTTCATTATGGTGCCTCACATATTTAAAAAAACAACTTGATTCAGTTATAAAAGTTTCTTTTTATAGACTCTTTAGATGTATATGTATCTCTGTCTCTGTCTCTGTCTCTCTCTGTCTCTCTGTCTCTCTCTCTCTCTCTCTCTCTCTCTCTCTCTCTCTCTCTCTCTCTCTCTCGTCTCCCTCTCTCTCTGATCTCTCTTTCTCCGTCTTTCTGCCTTAGATTGTCTCCCACCTCGTTTGTCCTTCGTATGTCTTTTGAAGAAATTTTGACCAGTGCCGTTCTGGTGCTCTTTTTCGAAATGCCCAAAGTGTTCAAGAAAAACTCGTTGTAGACTGGAACCGAACTTCCTCCAAATGTTAGGCTCCACAATTATTGTCAGAAATGGAAACTTAAAATAAACTGCACGAAAACAGTATACACCATCTTCACGAAGAGCCATAAAGCAGCCAAAGAAAATCTCAAACTAAAGATAGGAAATGAAAGTCTCCCCAAAGAAGAACATCCAACTTACCTAGGAGTCAAACTTGACCATAGGCTAACCATGAAAAGCCAAGTGGAGAACATAAGGAACAAGGCAAAGAAAAGACTCTAACTTTTAAAGAAACTCGCAAGCAATTCATGGGGATCAGACAAACAAACTCTTAGAGCTCTATACCTTGGTTATGTCAGATCTTCCCTGGAATACAGCAATAGCCTACTCACTATGTGCAGTACAACTACTTGCAACACCTTTGACAAGATCCAAAACAATGCCCTTCGTTTTATAAATGGTGGAATGAGATCCACACCTACCGCCGCGTGCGAAATCCTTGCAAATGTTGAACCCCTGGGAATCCGCAGAGATAAAGCAGTTTTGGAGCTACACGAAAGAACAAAAAGAATGTGCCCCAACCACCCAAACAGGAAATTAGTACAGTACATGTAGAAACATGGAAACCAAAGAAACGAATTCAACAAAAGTCAATCATGCATCACATCACAGAACTAATGGAGAGTCACCATCTACCACAAAACAGAAAAGAAACCCAAAGAGTCAACCAAAACATCCCTCCCCACCTTTCTTTAAAAAAGCCAATCATTACATCTCTCAAAGACAAGAGCACAAAATCGTCAGACCCAGTGACGCTGATGCTTGCATCACATCAAACAATCGACAGCTATTCAGATGACTGGATACACGTCTATACGGACGGCTCAGCATTCAAAGGCACAACCAAAGCCGGATATGGAATACTAATACAGTACCCAGATGGAAGTTCCAATGAGATCTCTGCAGCCTGTGGAGAGAAATGCAGCAACTACGATGCAGAAATGATAGCAATTGAAACAGCACTGTACCATCTCCGTACAGTTTTTGACACTCATCCTGGAAAAGCACAGAGCATTGTGAGTTTCACTGACTCACTATCAGTATTACAAGCCATAGAAAATGACCATCATCTAAACCAAGATTTGACCCATATACTGTTTGGATCCCATCATCTGATAACATTCTGTGGCATCAACCTAGTAATGCAGTGGGTCCCCGGACACTCAGACATACCTGGAAATGACAGAGCAGACACACTTGCCAAACGGGGATCTAGACAGGAACAACCCAACATTCCAACTTCATACAACACTGCAAAACAAATCATCCAAAGCAACAACAAACAAGATTGGATGAACAGATGGGCCCTGGGAAAGACTGGCAGAGCAGTTTTCAAACATATGACCACAACAAAAAGAAATGACAATATCAACCACCTTCAGAGAAAGAAACAGACCACGATCTTCCGCCTACGAACAGAACATATACAGCTCAACTTCCACCTGAACAGAATAAACCCGGAACTTCCCCCAATGTGTCCCTTGTGTGACTATGCATATGAGACTTGTTCCACTGCACAGCCCTAAATGACATCAGAGCTACCCTTCTCCCTCCGAGACCTAACATTGACAACACACTTTATGGAACTTTACAGCAACTGCAGCAAACCTGCACTTATCACTACATGGCATTGGACAGAAGGGCGAAAGTCCAGCTGTTGCTGGATCGATAACAACAACAACAACATAGATGTATACGTAGTTTTCACTTCAGTAAATGATTTTCAGTAACCTAGCCTGCAAATTGCTCATTTTGAAACAAAGACACCACCCTGCTGCCACATTTCAGTGTAATCACATAGTGTTTTTGGGTTTTTTTGAGCTCCGAGTGAGTCTAGACGTCACCATGAGCGTGTTAAAAAGTACTTGCCCATCTGTTGTACCTTGTTTCAAAGGCATGCATTAACTCGCTTGAGTCTGAGCTATTTTCAGCCCAAAAACTATTGCAGCTTGACAGTTTTGGGTGTATTGAATAGTTAACCAAAAAAAACTGAAAGCTTTGTAAAAAAATTGCTGCAAAAGAAGTGCTCTCACAGAAAAAGAAAGCTCTGTCTAATTTCCCTAAATACTTTTTATTTTATAAATATTTTGAAATGGCAATGTCTTGGAGGGTACACAATTTTTTTTTGCGTCCAAGTTATAAAAAAATCATTTATCAAAAAGTCAGAGACACCATAAAAACACAGTTAATTTTTACTGATGTGTGTTGCATAGTGGAAGCATAGTCCCAATAGTGGATGGTTGGCAGATGCTCTGATGTGGTTGGCTTCTTCTTTCCTATGATACATCTATTGTCTTTATCACTCCTCCTTTTTTGTGTTTGTTACTCTCTGTGACATCTCTAATCTTCGACATTAATATGACCTTTTTGTTTTGCAAGTGTGGTCGGTAAAACACTATTTAAAACAAAACAGAGTCCCAGGAGGAGTACATGATGTGTATCACAGATGGTGCAACAGTATCTTGCTGCTTTAGCTCTCTGTGTGAAGTCCTGACGGAGATACTGCTTTCCTTTTCTCACCAAGTGTATTGTTTAATCTGCAATTATTAGAGTTACTCCTACTGTTCCCACAACTTGAAGTACAAGATTTGTATATTTACAATACTTGGAATAGATTTGTAAGACGAAGCTATTCAGATTCGTTATACTTTCACACAATACTTGGAATAGATTTGTAAGACGAAGCTATTCAGATTCGTTATACTTTCACCCAACTACAGCTGTTCATTGCCTGGCCTATTTATAGATCTAGTTTGAAACTCTTCAAACATGTTCCATTTATGACTTTTACTGGCCTTGGCTTTGCTCCCATTCACAGAGCTTCTCTTACAATTCGCGGGTGACTCACTTAGCTCGTAATAGCTCAGAAAAAATCACATCATCAACAAACCTTTTATAAAACGAAACTGTTAGTTCGCTGCTTCCTGTAGCTGGTACCTGAAAAAGTCAGGAAATATCAATTGATAATACTTGTACAGAAAATACACAGGATCTGGCTGCCAGGCTCGCAGTACGTCTCGTAAATACACAGGAAGCGGTGCAAGTGAGTTAAAGTGTGGTGTTAATGAAAATGGACAAACTTTTTGATGGTTGAAGTGTATGCTATAAATCGCCTATTTTTAAGTTTTTACCTATTTTAGGCTTACATTAACTCCCTAAGCCCTGAGTTTTTTCTACGGTGTCCCAGAGTTTTTTTCTAGTCACCTAAACCTTGTGTACTATGTCTGATAACCCCAAAAGCTTGCCTTCAACTTCTAAATAGCTGAATCTAAAAAACTTGGTTCGGCAATAGTTCCGAAAAACAAGCAAAAGCTAGCACTAAATAAAACGAAACATTTGTCACTAGAACTAGATGCTCCCAGCGTGCGATGGGGTTCAAAGACTTAAGGAAGACTTGTCAGAACCTTGTTTTGCAGTGGCTTTCATAAATGGGTTTTCAGATTCTGTTGGTTGAAGATATCTTGACAAAGACCTGAGAAAAGATAAATTTGTTTATAGTTTATTTTGACTATGGGCAGATACAAGTGAACACGCTGTAGTCTTGTGTTATGTCTTGTGTTGTGTGAGGGCAAATGCTAGTCTTGTGTTGTGTCTGTGTTGTATTAGGGCAAATGCTAGTCTTGTGTTGTGTCTGTTGTATTAGGGCAAATGCTAGTCTTGTGTTGTGTCTGTGTTGTATTAGGGCAAATGCTAGTCTTGTGTTGTGTCTGTGTTGTATTAGGGCAAATGCTAGTCTTGTGTTGTGTCTGTGTTATGTTAGGGCAAATGCTAGTCTTGTGTTGTGTCTGTGTTATGTTAGGGCAAATGCTAGTCTTGTGTTGTATTGGGGCAAATGCTAGTCTTGTGTTGTGCCTGTGTTATGTAAGGGCAAATGCTAGTCTTTTGTCGTGCAATTTCTATTAAGTCTTGTGTGACGACTTATTCTCTATAGTCTTGCTTTGTTTTGTGTGAGCGCTAATTCTTGTTTCATTTTGTGTGAAAGCCTTGTGTTGTGTCTTAGGGCATTTGCTTATTTTGAGTCTCATTCAAAGGACATTTATTTTTGTGTCTTGCATTGTGTGTGCTAGTGAGTGTTGTATGTTTGTATGTTTAGCTAACTAACACTTGGACTCTCGTTTTGTTCTTTTTTTATTTTGTTTGTCATTTTGGAATGGAATTTAACTTTTTTGATAATTTTCAACCTTTTTGACAATGTTGTGAATATGCATGTTGAATGGTTTGTATTTGGCTGTTGAATGTGGACATACTCACTTTAGAATGTGGTTTGACGTAGTGGACGTAGCCACTGTTGAATGTGGGTGGACAAGAGTGGACATACATAGCTACTGTAGATTTTTGTTAGATATAGTTAAAATATACATTGTAAAATATAGTTAGACATAGCCACAGTTGAATGTAAGTTGAAATTATAGACATTACCATTGCAGATGGTTGGTGGTCGTAGTAGACATTGCTGTTTAGAATGTAGGTAGACAGGGCCAGTGTAAGACATTGGGTGGGTGGAGGTAATGGCGCTGAATTTTTTTTTTATAAATGCAATAAAAGTGACAGCTTTTCAGACAAGAATTCACTGTGGTTCTGTTTAGAATTCTGTTGTTGTTGTGTTTTTTTTGTATTTGATATACAGCATGCTTTGTATTAGAGTGTTGTCATTTTTTCTAATCCGTGGCCTGTGTTTTGGTTTTCTTCTTTATCCCCCTCCCCCCTTTTTTTTTGTTTTGACCTTATTTTACTGTTACTGGACGTCTTGTCTACCTGCAACTCTACTCGACTCCTCACCCCATCACAATCCCCCGACCACTGATGTCGTACACGGTGTGACTGGCTGCGTGTGGACACCCTGTGGGTTCACTGCGTGCTCCTTGTGACGACGCACGCACCGCGCTCTCTGGGTCTGTCTCTGCACCCTGGCTCGTCTGCATGTTAACTTGCACACTCCCCCCCCCCCCCCCCCCCGCCCATGTCGGATGGTTAACGCACCACACGGATGACACATCACTCACCCACTGTTGTGCATGTCCTGGGTCGCCCGTGCCTGGTTTTGTTGATAGACTCTGACAGCAGAGAGTAACAACAACAGCGTGGGCTGGGGCCCTCAGTTCAAGGACTGGGATCTGTACCGGCAGCACCTGAACAGCCTGGACCAGGGCCACCATGTGCACCATCAGCCCCTGCCCGCCCGCTCCTACCAGGACTCTTCCCCCTCACACAGCCCCCTCCCTCACTCCTCCCCGTGGCTCTCACGTCGAGCAAACTCCTCACAACTAGCCCCTCCTCACCCTACTGCTTCCACCGGGTACACTCCCAGTCACAGTCGACAAGGCAGCAGCTCTTCAGAGCAGCCGCCAGCCTCCCCCACCTCGTACATACATCAAAATGGCTTCCAGCATGACGGCCCCTCCCCCGCACATCCCCCCTCTCACTACCCATCATACAACCCCCCACCAGGGAGTAGCTCCGCAAGCATGCACCAACGCCCCCCACCGTACCCACAGCCCCACGGCCCTCACAATGGCATCAACACTGCGCAAGGCACGTACCCGTCCCCTATGGTGCACCGCAGAACACTTGCCACACATCCCCATCACCCTCCCCCCACCCCCACGCACCCGGCTCTCCCCGGCGCCCCCACTCCCTGTCACCCGCCAGCGGGCAGCTATCTGCCTGTGTACCAGCAGCCTTGTCACACTCCTAGCCCAGCTTCGGACTACCCATTACCCCCAAGTGACCTTGACCCCTATGTTGTCCCCCGTCGACAGGGTAGTGTTTCGAGTTTGGTGGAGTACCGACATACGCAGCGTGCGCACTCTCCCTCTGTCTCAATGGTTCAAGGTCCACTCTCTCCCTCGCTGTACCCGCCCAGCCAGCGGTCGGGATCTCCAAGCTCGGTACACAGTGGGCCTCGATCACCGCGGGAACTCGGGCCCTCCCACATCCCACCTCCAGTAATGGCTGCAGAAGCTCAGTCCATGAGTTACATGAGTACTGAGGGATGTGAGGGCGGTGACAGCCCACCAGAGACTCCGCCTACTCCTGTCATGCGTGTGGGAGTGATGGAGGATGAGTTCACCAGGGTCAGTCAGCTGGCACGTTTATACGCCTATTCCTCTCTTGCTTTCTCACCCTTCCCTTTCTCTCTCTTCTTCTATTTCTTCTTCTTCTTCTTCTTCTTCTCTCTCTCTCTCTCTCTCTCTCTCTCTCTCTCTCTCTCTCTCTCTGTCTGTCTCTCTCTCTGTTTCTTCGTCTCTCTCTTTTCTCATTTCTCGTTCACAAATGCATTGTTTCCTTTATTTTTCTCAGTGCTTTGCTTTCCTTCTATTCTCATCATATCTAAGAGCGCCTTCTTTTTCATTCTCTTCCTCGTGGGTGGTTGGCGGGTGCTCTGGTGTGGTTTGCTCCTTCTTTCCTATCAAACATCTATCGTCTTTATCTCCCCTCCTTCCTTTCTGTGTTTGTTACTCTCTTGTAACGCCTCTAATCTTCGGCACTTATATGACCCTATTGTGTTGCAAGTGCCGTAAAAACTCTTACGAAGATTCTCTTCCTCTTACTTGTGAGCTGAACGTTTTCTTGTACTAAGTCCACTTTTTCTACTCTTGGAAGGTTTTTGTCTAAGCTGTCAATGCTGTTGGAACAATCTTCCCTATTACGCAAAGCGTATTAGTTTCAATGCCGGTGTCCCAATGAGCTTAAGTTTCACTTGTACTTTCGCCCATATTTGTGGCTTGAACTCCGTACTTTCAAAGGGATAAATGTTAAAACTGTAAAAATGAAATTAGTACGAAATATTACAAAGCTCTCCCCCTCTGTCTCTCTCTCTCTCTCTCTCTCTTTCCTTCTCCCTATCAGTCTCCCTCTCTCTCGCTGTCCTCTCTTTTTCACCTTTTGTCCTCCTGTAATATCTTCACCAGCTCATCCACTCTCATCTCCCCCACCCCTTTCTCTGTACGCCCCACCACCTGATCATTGTAGTTGTATGTAGCTCAAAATGTTGTGTGTTATTTGCTAACCTCACTTTTGTTGCATTATTACCCATGGCATGCTGAGTGTGTGTTTTCTGATTTCTCACAGTTCGAGTGTTATGTACAATGTTGAGTTCCTTTCATCTCCTGTGTATAATGTGCTGGCAGTGTGTTGCATCGTGTGTTATGTTGTACCATCTCTGTTGTGCCACGTGTTGCTTCATGTGATGTGTTGGGTAATCCGTTTCTTCTCATGTGTTGCATCGTGTGCTGTCTTGGGTTGTGTAAAGTCATCCGTGGCGTGATATGTGTTGCATCATGAGCTGTGTTGGATCATCCGTTGCTTGTCATTGCATTTTTTGTGTTGCATCATGTGCTTTGTTGGGTTGCGTAGGGTCATCCATTGTGTGTCAAGTGCTGTGTTGGGTCATCCGTTGCATGATGTGTTGTCCCATATGCATACCTCATCGCATGCGCATTGAGCCGTATTCCCTTACTTGTTCGTAGTCTCATGCTGTGCGTGCTGCGTCGCGTATGATGTGGTCTACTGTGTCATCCCTTGTGTATAATGTGTTGGATTGTGTTGCTGCGATATGTCATCCATTGTGTTCAGAATGTTGTCATCCCTAGTGTGTTGTGTGTCATGTTGTGTTGTTTTCCCTTGTGTGTAGCATCATGCAGCTCAAGTCACAGTGTGTCATTTTTGTGTCAGGTACTGTGTGCAGATGCTGCTTTCTGTGCAGTGCTCTTGTTGTATCATGTGCAGTGTATAATTCTTGTGTCATGGTCAATGTGTTCTTATTGTGTCATGTGCAATAATTATGTGTTCTTGTCCTGTCATATGCATTTGTCATTGGCATGCCTTGAACAACGTTGGGTTGTGTCTTGTAGCAAGTGTCCTTACTCAGTCATGTATAAAGTGACCCTATGTATTAATGATGGTCATGTACAATGTGGACGTTTGGCGGGTGCTCTGGTTTGATCTGCCCCTTTCCCATCTGACATCTGTCTTCCTTATTTTTCTTTTTTTTGTGTTTGTAAATCTCTCATAACACTTAATCTTTGGCACTTTTATGACCTAATTGGGTTGCAAGTTCCGTATAACACTTTCTAAAACTAATTATCTAGAATGTTTCCTTGTTTTGTGTTGTATAAATGTCTTTGCTTTGTGTAGTATATCTTTTTGATTTGTGTAGTATACGTCTTTGTTTTACAGTGTAAAATGTGCCATTTTTTGTCATAATTGTCTCATGTGCTCAACAATGGCGTGATTTGTTGGCTCATTTTCTCTGCTTTATCCCGTCATTTATATGTGTATCTCGTGGGTGGTTGGAGGTTGTCAGGGGTAGGTTCTACTTCTTTGTTACCTCTGCTATTTCTATCACGTGATTACCTGTCTTTTTCCCAGCATTTTATCAAGCTTATTGTGTTGATGTTCTCTTTAAATCTTCTTTAAAAAAACCACATCTTCATGTGTTATTGTTGTGTTTGCTTTTTCATTCTTTGGAAGTTGGGGGGGGGGGGATTCAAGGATCTTTGATCCCTTGAACTGGTGTCATGTATGTCTATGTACACGCATTGGAAGTTTTAACTCTTTTCCTACCAGGCCAAAATCCACCACTGGCCCAGGGCTTTTCCCTGACCTATTTTTACGCCCCTACCCCTCCACAGGAAAATGTCAAAACATCCAACTAAACACACACAAACCATATCTTATGGTCCATCAAACTGAAGGTTAAAAGATAATCTATTAGATTGCAATACAATATTGAAGATTTATTCCAATTATATTACTTTAGGGTTTCTAAAAGTGATTATGCAATATCGGAGGTCTCATATGAAATCAACAATTTTCCAGCTTTGAAAGGTCATAACTAAAAAAATACAACAGCATCATTCTAACTTGCCAGGTAGGTTGCGTCAAGTAATGCGAAGAAATGCTGAAAGTTATGTATGCATTCCTAATATAGAAGCGAAAGTATGAGACATATATTGAAGTCAGGGGAGCGCTTTTTTTCCTTATATTTATGTTTGGAAGGGGACAAAAAAGGCGCTGAAATGACTAAAAATCGTCTGTCAGTGCAGTATTTTCTGCTAACAGGAAGTCTATTCTATTATTTTGAAAATGTGGATCGGCTGATAATTTTGTATCTTTTCATTACTGGATTGGAATAGATAGCGAGCCTCTCGAGCCGTATTTTGCGGCTCTCGGTCCAGCGAGGCCAGGTCCACGAGCGGAATTTATGCAAGTAGAGGTAGGCATTGATACAGCCCTGTATGTGTGTGTGTGTGCCTCTGTGCTATCCTGGCTCTGTTTTTGTCTCAGTTCAGCCTGTGCTATTCATCTCTGAGTGTCAGGTCACTGCTGAGTCAAGAACTTCTGGGTAAACACTCAAGGCCAATGCTAAACATGTTCTTAAGTGAACACCTTGAAGCTTGGAACCTCATGCAAATATGCTTCTACACCCAACCACTTGCATTTAAAAACCCATGCAATATGCTTACACACCCATACACACATACACAAACACTCACACACATATTGGTTGGCGGGTGCTCTGGTGTTGTTTGCTTCTTCTTCCCTATCAAACTTCGATGATCTTTATCTCTCCTCCTTTTTTTTGTGTTTGTTACTCTCTTGTAACACCTCTAATCTTTGGCACTTTTATGACTTTAGTGTGTTGCAAGTGCCGTAAAACACTTACTAAAACTAAAAAAGCACACATACATACACAAATATGTACACACCAGGCATGCAGGCTCAGGATCGTAGCTTACACAAGAGCACAAGCACAAACACATGTGCAAATGCTTGCATATACACACACAATGAAATGCTCTCACACACCGCCACGTACACATCCAAGTTCTTACAAATGAAAACACACCCATATTGACTCTCTTACACACACATACACATATTTATCATAAAGGCCAACTGTTCTTCTTAGCGTCGGTTGCTGGTTCTGCACTGAACACACCGTATATGTCCCAGTCTCTTTTTGCGTGAAATGTCCTTAATCGTACTGTCTGTTATCACGAGATATTGTTGGTCATATTTTCTGTCTGTTTGTCTTCTATCGTCAGATTGTGTGCCATAATGAGTCATATCTCCCGCCTGTTTTTCCATTATCGTCAGATTTTGTCAGGCATATCCCCTGCCTGTTAGTTTTATCATCAAGATATTGTTGGTCATATTTTCCCCTGTTTGTTGCTATCACATGTCCTCAGTGGTACTGTCTGCCCGGGCGGTTGGAGGGTAGGTCCTTCATGTGTCTGTTCTTGTGGAATAACTCTACCTTTCTTTTTGGCCTCATGGCAGGAGCTGAAGCGACAGAAGGCAGATTATGAGAGAAAAAAGAAACAAGCAGAGCAGATCCGGATGAAACAGCAGTTGGAGGAAGAGGAGGAGCAGGAAAAGGAAGAGAGGAGGAGGACTGCGCTGAGGCTGCAGGAGGAGCAGCGAGCTGTGATGGAGAGACAGGCGGAGGGACGAAGACAGGAGGAGACGAGGAGGGCGGAAGAGACGAGGAGGACGGAGGAGGCAAAGCGGGCAGAGGAGTTGAGGAGAATGGAGGAGGACCGTCTGAGGAGGGAGGAAGAGGAGGCAGCCAGGAAAAGAGAGGAAGAGCTTCTTCGTTTACAGGAGTCGGTCAAACTACAGTGAGTTTTCCGTTGACATGTTGTTGTATGTGGTTTGCAGGTGTGTTCTGTATCCGGCTGTCACCTGTTTTTGTTTAAGTCTTGTTTTGTGCCAGCTGATGTGTCAAGATGTCTTGTGTCCTGTGTTGTATTGTGTTTGCTGAGGTTCTATATGCTATGTGTGCTGCGCGCCCCGCCCCTCCCCCCCCCCCCCCCCCCCAAATAGACCCACCTCTTATATATCTTACTCTTCCTATTTATTGTTTTATTTTATTTCATTTTATTATTATTATTATTATCATTACCATTATCCTTTTTCTTTTCTCTTCTCTCCATCGACAACCTGTCTTTGACATGGAGTTGGGACAGGTATTGGTGAGGTTGGAAGCAGAGGCTTATTGTCAGCACTACTGGTTGTGACTTTACATAAGGAATTCCCAGATAACTACATGTATTAAGCATGCAAACATGAAGGTTGCCAAGGGATTATAACCCATATGTAAGGCAGTGTGGTGAAATCAGACGCTCGTCAAAATGAAGAAATCAGAGAAATAGGCATTTTTCCGGCCGTCGGGTAATTTTTTTCGATTTTTATTTTTAGCTCAACACTTTTTATGTCTATTTAAAAACACGTTTGTGTATGGGTTTTCCGGAAAAACTTAATCAAAGACACATAAAATGTAAATTTACAGTTTCCAAGGACACTCAATCTTTGGAAATCACCAGACTTTGGCGGCCATTTTCTCTCTAATTTTTCCTTCGACGTCAGGCAACCCCCTCCTCCTTTAATCTCAAATTTTCCGACTTCTATCCAAGATAGTTGGGGTTTTTTTCGCCAAATTCTAGACAAATGAACCAGCTTTAAGATGATACTAATAACTCCATATGCCCAAAATTGACGAGCGCCTGATTCTGCCACGTCGTGACATATATATATATATATATATATATATATATATATATATATATATATGTGTATATATATATATATATATATATATATATATATGTATCAGAAATGACATCCAGGGTGAAATATAGCTCTTTAATTGGCACCCCACAGATACACATAAAGTCACCCTGTGGTTTGGCAACAGCAAGCTCATACTTTACAACATCTATTGTCCCCCAAGTAGCACTCTGAACTTCATGGAACAGAGCACTATCTTTAAGAAGACGGTCATAGCTGGTGACCTTAATGGACACTCCCCCCTTTGGGGCTATGCTGACCAAAACAACACAGGTAAGAGGATTGAAGAACTATTTCAGTCCTCTGACGTTATCCTTCTCCAAGGTGAGGTTTCAACTAAAACCCTTCTTCATAGGAGACATGGGACCCTCCACAAACCAGATCTCACTCTGGTCTCCACTGATTTACACAACTACTGCAGTGAAGAGGTGCTAGACTGTATATCTAGTTACCATCGTCCCGTTCTCACCAAAAATCAATGTATTGAGACACAGACAAAGGAAAAGAACCCGTTGGAACTTCAAGAAGGCAAACTGGGTTCTCTTCAGAAAAACAGCTGAGGACACCGTTAAACTGGATGATCTAGACAATAAAAGTATAGACGCCCTTAATGGTGAACTCACCTCCGCCATCTGGGATGCTGCAAAGAAGAGTATCCCACAGGGGTGCAGAACGAACTATAAAATCTTTTGGAATGAGCACTTGGAGAAAGCTACAAAAACTAAAAATGATGCCAGACATGAATATATGCAAAAGATCTAAAAAATATGAACCAGAAAATTAAATACAAAAAGGCTATAGCAGAGGCTAAACTTGTTACCAAGGAATCTAAGAAGGAAGCCTGGACACAGAAGTGTGAGGGACTCAATTTACATCAAAGTGGACGTGAAGCTTGGTCACTTCTAAATAACCTCTCTGGTGAAAAAAGGAAAGAAAATCCCAAACCACTACTCACAGAAACCAAAGTTCTCTCCAGCGAGTTAAAAAAAGCCGAACACTACAACAAACATTTTGCCTCATTAACAAAACAGCTAAAAGAATGACCTGGACAGAGGTCTACTGAGCGTTCTGAAAGAAAAAGAGAAAGACTGGATGACACCGAGTATCTTCCAGGACTTCTTAACTAAACTAAACGAAGAGTTGGACTTTGCAATCAAGATACTGAAGAAGCGAAAAAGCCCATGTCCTGATAAAGTACACAATGACATGCTACAAAATCTTAGTGAAAAAGCCAAATTGCTACTTCTTAATTTCTACAACAGAACATGGACCGAGGGAAATCTGCCTAAAGCATGGAAACTAGCCACTATAAACCCAATCTTAAAGAAAGGAAAGAAGGCAAATGACCCTAAAAACTACCGCCCAATATCATTCACGTCTTGTATTGGCAAGCTATGTGAAAGAATCCTCAATTCTCGTCTTTATTGGTGGCTTGAGTCTTCAGGTCTGATCTCCCAGTGTCAAGCAGGGTTCAGGTCAAAAGGCAGGACAGAAAACCAGCTCTTCAGGCTTACACGGAGAATCATTGATGGATTTCAAAGAGGGGAACAGACAACGGCTGTGTTTGTGGATCTCCAACAGGCCTCTGATAGAGTGTGGAGAAAAGGACTACTCTTAATACTGCAGAACATGGGAATCAAGGGAAATATGTACTCCTGGATTAAATAATTCCTTACAGATAGACTTATCCAGACCCAGATGGATGAAACCTTATCTTCTAAAACAGTACTTGAGGAAGGACTCCCTCATGGATCTTCTATCAGCTGTACCTTATTCCTTGTCTTCCTCAATGATGTTTCAGATGTTCTCAAAACAGAAAAAGCCCTTTTTGCTGATGACCTGGTCCTTTGGCACACTGGAGACTCTTACAACAACAAGCAGACTGTGCTTCCACTCTTCCGTATTTTTATGGAAATCCGTACTTTCTGTTAGTTCCGTACTTATTCCTCCATCATTATCAACTCCCTCCATAAAAATCTGCGACAGCGTAGAACTACCGAAATTCAGTAGCAAAAGATCAGTAGTTGCCTTAATATCGTCTTGTATAAGTTACGGATAATTACAGTAATTCTCTCGGCAATAGTTTATGTTATAGAAACCTGCCAGATTGCGCATTTCCTGCCATCGGCCATTATTCCGCTATGCCCCCATGCATTCATTGCGGGTTGGTCGACAGTACATTTTTTACGTGCAGATTAATCCAAATCTGGCGAACTTTTTATGCCACTTTCCTCTATCATTCCCTCATTCCGTCTTGTCTATCTTCGGATTGTCGCCGCTGCTGGAAAATCTGCGTTGATCAAGTATATTGACTTGTGATCTTAAGACAGAAAATTACTGTCAGAAAGAAACTTTTTTGCAAATTTATTGTCTAGATCTAGAGAAATTATCAATGTGAAGATTCTACGGCACGCGAACACGATAAGGGCAGCGATGAAAGAAATATGTGCCAAAACTACTAAATCAAGAATAATTCGAAGTGGTGATCCGAAGTTGTGACATGCGACATTCAGAACTGAATATTGAGGAAAATTAGGGTATACGCTGGGCAACTATTGTAAAGGTACATATCTATTCATTATTCCCAGGTTTACCTTCTACCTATGGTGCGATGACAAATTAATTTAATTATAGTAGCAATGGAAGGAGAACCTGCTTTTAAACATTGCCAGCAATGGAAAGATTTTTTGGTGAAGAAATCAAAGACAAAATCTTGGTGAAAAAAATAGTTAGTATGGGTTGTTGGCAATCTCTTCAAACAGGCTCCCAAATGCCTTTTTCAACCCTCTAAAAGTACTAAATTTCAATTTCTTCTGGGGCTTCGCCCCCTGAACCGTCACTGGGGCGCTGTCCCTGGACCCCCCAGCCGAATTTTCCTTACTTTTCAGCTGCAGCTGGTGGAAGCACTGAGCAGACGAAGACTACAAGATGATCTAAATTCCCTGGGAACCTATTGCCGTTTATGGAAGATGAAAGTAAATCGCAAAAAAACTGTCTACTCTGTTTTTACAAGAAGCTATAACCTTGCAAACGCAGAAATACCTCTTAAAATAGATGGTACTGACTTGAAAAAAGAGAATAACCCTGTGTGTCTTGGAGTACAACTTGACAGTAAGCTCAACTTGAAACAGCATATTAACAACCTTAGGAAGAAGGCTATGAAGAGACTTATGTTATCAAACGACTACCAAGTACCAACTGGGGATCAGACAAGAACACTTTGAGAGGCCTCTATTTAGGATATACTAGAGCTGTTGGTTTTTTTATAATCTTGTTCTACAAAACCTACAAAACATTTGCAGTAAAACTACAAAAAACTATGTACGCCATTCAAAACTGAGCTCTTCGTCTTATCTCTGGCGGAATGAGATCCTCACCGACAGTGGCCTGTGAAATGCACACAAATATTGAGCCATTAGAAACTTGAAGAAAGCAAGCAGCTTTCGAAGTATATGAAATATCTGAAAGGCTAGAAAATAATCCCCCAAATAGAATTCTTGTTGACAAGTGGAAACCTAATCAAAGGCTAAAAAATAAAAAATCTGTTCTTGAAACTGCCCTCAATCTCCCAGAAAAACATATATCACCTCCCTGAAAGACGAGAACCTCTGGAAAGAGTTCCCTCAACTCTCCCACCACATCTCACCATAGCAAAGCCAGAAATGAGGAAATCACTTTTGGACATGAGCAATAAAAACACATATCCTGTGGCACTAAAATATTCTGCCCTTGAAACAATTGATTGCTATCCACCAACATGGATCCACTCATACACTGATGGATCTGCCTTTAAGGCAACAATCAACGCTGGATATGGGTCAGTGATCGACTTGCCCAATGGGATCAAAAAGGAGTCTTTAATTCCAGCGGGTCCTTCTGCTCCAACTTCATTGCCGAACAACAGGCAATACAGCAAACTACATCAACTACTTGTTTGACACTAACCCACTTGCTACCGCTGACTTTGTTATCTTTACAGACAGCTTTTCAACACAAGAGACACTTGAGAGTGGGACTGGTGTGAACAAAGATATATCACACTTGATTTGGAGTCTACATCATTTGATAAGTAGGCTCCATATCAGAGAAGTCCTACAAAGGATTTCTGCTCACACTGGGATACCAGAAAATGAAAGAGCAGATGCTCTAGCGAAGAAAGGAGCTAGCCTCCCTTAGCCTGTTATTCTTACTGATTACACCACCTGCTGCCAAATGATCAAGTCAAACCTCAAGGAAGACTGGATGAACGCAGGGGCCACAGGTACGACAGGAAGGATGATGTATGGCCACATGAATAAACCTCTGTTCGAAGATCCAATCAATGGGGTGAGGAGGGGAGATCAATCCATAATCTTCCAACTTAGAACACAACATGTACCCCTCAATCAACATCTCAACCGAATTGGAGTAAAGCAGTCAGCTGCCTGCCCACTAAGTGACTACCCCTCAGAGACAGTGGAATATCATCTGTTCTTCTGTAGAAAACTAACCGATTTGAGGGGATGTTTTCTTCCCAAGCTACCCCACTCATCTAACTGCCTCTATTCCTCAAGGCGTGCACACATATTAAAAAACGTGTACAGAAATTCCACACACATTGTACAAAAACTGAATGGACACTGTAACATACCTGAGCAATGTGTTGAACAACATTAGAACAGACATGCAGCTATTACAGAATGGCATCATGCAGACGCAGAAGACTTAACGCTCAGATGCTACTGGATCGTTAACGACTACAACAAGCTATGTGTTGTGCCGACAGACAAATCACAACATTGTCCGTGACATACTGGCTAGGCGCTTTGCTGTGCATGCAAAAGATGGGTGTTCAATTCTAGTGGGGGGAGGTTTTTGCTATAGAAACACCTCTAATCTTAGGCATTTATACGATCCATTTGTGTTATAGGTGAACTAAAACTGAAAGACTCTAGAAATACTTCACATTTTCGGCACTTACTCGACCTTTTCTGTGTTGCTAGTGCTGTAAAACTATTTCTAAATCTACAACCGATGACATGTCTGTCCGCAGGGAGGAACAGGAGGCTCAGAGACAGAAGGAAGAGGCACAAAGGAGATTAGAGAGTAAACTGCAGGAGGAGGCCAAGAAGAATAAGCTGTCCAACAAGTATGTTTTGTCTGTCTGTCTCTCTATTGTTCATTAACATATATTCTGTTCTTTATCCACCTGTTTATCACTGATATGTTTTCTTCCTGTCTGTCACTTTGTTCTTTGTCCACTTGTCTGTCCATGTATTGTTTATCTATGGGTGGTTGGTGGGTGCTATTGAAGCATCCAATTTTTTTTCTTTCCCTATTCTTTTTCTCTGCTCGGAATACAGTCATTGTGTTAATGTATACTTCTTTTTACTAAGGCTACACTAAATTATACTCTGTTCACTTGTCAATTACTCTGAGGGTGTTGGTTGTTGTTTTTTTCTGTAACATTAATCTCTGTCTGATTCTCTACTACTTTGATAATTTTCCTGAATTTCTATTACTCTGTTCTGTGACAATTTTTCTGTCACTCTTAACGTTGTTTTGCTTGTCGTTTCTCTTTACTTTGTTCACTTGTCTGTCATCTTCTTCTTTTTTTTTTTGACAATGTGTCAGTTTATCTATTTTTGGGGTCTGTATGTTCCACTGATCTGTTCTTCTGGTTTATTGTTTGCGTTTCTTCAACAGTTCTTTATTGTTTGTCTTTTTCTGTATCCATAAAGTGTTGGGGCAGCATGTTTTGTTCTACACATTGCTCATATTTTGTACGGTATGTTACAGTGTCCGTTCAGTTTTTGTACAATGTGTGTGGAATTTCTGTACTGTTTGTTAATTTGTGTGCAGTATCTGTACAGTTTTTGTACAATGTTACTGTATCTCTGTAATATGTGTACAGTAAAATGTGCTCAGTGTTCTAGACAGTGTGCGTGCAATGAGTACAGTGTTTATAACATACTTTGACTGTCATTGTAGAGGGCTCTTTCTACTAACCTGATGAACATTTAGGCTCTAGTGTTAAGATGGATCTTAACTGCAACTACTACATATTACATACTTGTTTTTAACAGTAACCTTAAAAGAACTGATAGGGTGTATTTATCTGAGAAATGAAATCTGTTATAGTTTCTGCTTAGATGTGTGTGTGGGTTTTTTTTTCAAAGTTTTTGTGTGTTTGTGTGATCCTTTGAGTTTTTGTTGGGTGTGGTTCCATGTATGTGCTGTGTGTCATCCTGTCTGTAAAGGTGTAGCAATATCTGTGTGTGTGTGTTTATGCACACACATACACACAGTCTTACATGCTCATAGTGAAGTCAGCATGTCGCAGAAATCGTTTCATTATGTACAATGTACCTGTTTTAAGTACAGAATATGGAAGAGAGAAGAAAAAATAAATGGTATCTAAAAATCTGTTCTGCGTCATGGCTGTTCGCTATGTGCACGCAGACTATATGGGCCTGTTAGTGCAATGTCGTATGTATACCCTCATTCTCAACATGGCGTGTGTGTTTGCGAGTGACATGTTTGTCAGGGTCATTCCCTGAGAGAGGTTGTGCATGTTTTGTCTGGTCTGGCCAGTCCCCCAGACATCTGCATGCCCGGCATGTTGTCTCCTGTGCATGAGCATGTGGCGCACTGGCATGTGTGCTGGTCTGCCTGATTCCTGAGACCACTATGTACAGCCTGTGCTGCTGATGGTGGGTGCAGGGAAGGAATTGTCTTGCTGTTTGGGTGATTATAGCATCTATCTTTGGGTTTATGATCAGGATCTCCTTCTGTTTTGACTTTGACAAGGATTTGTCCACCAGCTAATATCTGTTCTTGTTTCCTCACTCTCTGTCTGTCTGTCTGTCTGTCTGTCTGTCTGTCTGTCTGTCTGTCTGTCTGTCTCTCTGTCTCTCTGTCTCTCTGTCTCTCTCTCTCTCTCTCTCTCTCTCTGTCTCTCTGTCTCTCTCTGTCTCTCTCTCTCTGTCTGTCTGTCTGTCTCTCTCTCTCTCTCTCTCTCTCTCTCTCTCTCTCTCTCTCTCTTTCTCTCTCTCTCTCTCTCTTTCTCTCTCTCTCTCTCTCTCTCTCTCTGTCTCTCTCTCATTCTCCCCTTCCCTCTCTTTCTCTCTCTCATTCTCCCCTTCCCTCTCTTTCTCTCTCTTTGATTCCATTGTTAACACTCCCAAGTTCTTTTAAGTTGAATTTTTCCTCTATTGCATGGTTTCTTTGTAATATGCAAATGTTCTTTGTTATGACTTACACCTATTCATTGTGAACTGTTTTGTAATCTGCTTTCATAAACATCTCTTACAGGCGTTCACCTGCTAGGTAACTAATTATTTTTGACTAATACTTACATCATTTGGGTTTTTTGTACTCTAAGATTAATGTGTGCCCTCATGTATGGCTTGTGAAGGAAACGTCCGATGACCCGACCTCAGTTCCTTTCTTCAGTTATCTGTCTGCTTGTCGGTGTTGTCAATTCCAGTCTTTTTGATAATGTAGAAACAGGATGGTAGGACTTGGTATAGACAGGCTGTCTACCTGACTCTAATACTTTGACAATGATGCCCTTTGGCTGTGTGTGATCTTGTAATATCCCTTGCATGTCTACATGTTATTTCCCCTGTACGTCATTATGTGGTGTTTATTTTTTTATTTTTTTGGTAAGTGTTTTACGGCGCTCGCAACTGCATAAGGTCATATGAGCGCACAGGACACATTAAACTTTTTCAGTCGGTAGGAAATTTTGAATTTTGCACGGGTGGCGGTCAGGCCTACTTTTATCGATTTTAAACCACCAAGGGATCTTAAATGTGCGCTACTTGCACACGGGCCCTCCAAGATTTTTCGCTCTTGTCCGAGAAGGCTAGGTGTAGATCTTTCCTATCAGAAGACCAAGGGTGTGGCTGACAGACAGCAGTAAAGAGTAAAGCCAAAGAGTAGAAGTAAAAAGTTTACAGAAAGAGTCAGGAGCCCAGAAGAGGGGGCGAAGGAGGTGAGGGGGTGTGGGCAGAAAGAGAAGACGAAAGCAGGCGACAGAACATTGCTAGAGAGCAGGAAAGGAGGTGAAAAGAGACAATTTTAGAGAAGAACATTTTTCGGTTCTAACCCGAGACCTTTGAATGAGAGGCCGACTTGTCTGTCTATGTAGTGTATGACATTATGTTGCTCTGATATTTTCCCTGTTCGTCATTACGTGGTGGCGTTTTTTTCCCTTGTGTGTCATTAAGTTGTGGTGCTGTTTTCTCTGTATGTCATTACGTGGTGGCGTTTTTTTCGCGTGCGTTATTTCCCCTGTGTGTCATGTGATGTTATTTCCCCTGTGTGTCATGTGAAGTTATTTCCCCTGTGTGTCATGTGATGTTATTTCCCCTGTGTGTCATGTGATGTTATTTCCCCTGTGTGTCATGTGATGTTATTTCCCCTGTGTGTCATGTGATGTTATTTCCCCTGTTTGACATAATGAGATGGTGCTATCTTTAGTATCTATTCAGATATAATTACCTTATTTTTTCCCTCTACTGGTATGCGGTTGTTTTATTTCCATATATGTTAGCATACAGTGGTTTCATTTCCCTGTTTATTGGTCTATGGTTGTATTATCTCCCCCGTATGTTGGTACAGGTGGCCTTACTTCCCCTTACTGTTATTTCCCTTGTCTCCTGCTTGTATACTGGAACTGCTTGCTCTTTCTTCAGCTCAGCCCCTCGTTTGTTCTGTTGGGCAGTTTTGATGACCAGCTTGTAGCCAATTGTTCTTTTTCTTCTTTTTTCCCCCCTTCCTGTTTTGTAGCTTCTACAATCACAATAGTCACAGCAACACAAATATTCAGAAGCCGCCGATTCATTCACACCCCAACCACCTCCATTACAACCACCACCACAACAACAACAACCACCACAACACCACCACAACTGGCCAAGGTCAGTACCATCCCCGGCCGGAACACGTGAGCTCCGCGCCCCCTCACCGCCCCCCTCCTGCTCCCCCCACCTCCCTGGCCCTGCATGGTTTGACCTCTGGCCCCAGCAGCCCAGCCTCGGCCTCGTCGTCAGTGTCGTCATCGTCGTCATCGGCGACATCATCGCGGTGCACGCCTGAGGACAACTACATCCTCTCTGAGCACCAGTATAGGTACGCTGTGTCATAGCTCCCTCAACCACAGACAGATATATAAACAGTGGGAGTGAGAGGGAGACAGACAGACAGACAACTGAGACTTAGAAAGAGAGAGAGTTATGACAATGGAAAGGGCGGGGCTAAAAGGAAAGAAAGAGAGTATGTCAGTGTGTGTGTAAGCAGACTGTTGTGGAGTACACGTGTTGCTGTCTGCCTGGCTGACCACATTGGATTGAAAGTGGCTGAAAATTTCAACAGAGCTATTTTTGTCCCTGTTCTTGTAAGTGGCTATAAATATATGTGTGAATCGGTGCGTATGTGTGTTCATGAATACGCAAACTTCTGTATGTGTTTTCAATGTAAACGAGTGTGAGCGGTATCACCTTGGCTGAAAAACTTAGTCTTTCTCTCTGTCTTAAGCTTTTTTGTTCTTCTCGGACTCTTTTTTCCAGCGTGTTCCTCTTTGTCAATCCCTTTTTCTGCCTGTCACATTCTTTCTTTCTGTGTGTCTGTCTCTGTCACGGCACACAGGCAGTGGAATTTTAGTTGCAGCAGCAGGGGTTTCCTCGCCGAGCACCTTATCACGTCGAGGTCATGAGGGTCAGCTCCCTGTCGCCGCTGACTTAATTTTGGGTATTTTTCAATGTAGTTTTAGGCGTATACTTGTATTTATAGTAATTTTGATTTAATGCATCCAAAGCACGCATTTCTACTCTTGAGACTCAAAAAAGAATGGCCATTGTAACTTGTCTGGTTATTTTGTTAGACGCGCTGAAGTCGGCAATGCTAAACTGTTAATTTTTTTTGCAAGTGTGAATGAAAAAAAAATCAATGAAAAAACGAAAAAGGCTCGACAAAAACTCTTAACTTTTGGAACACGAACGACATAATATCGGTGCAGATACTCAGAAAAGATTGTATCTGCACATATAACAGAAATCTGTAATTTTGCAACGTTTTCCATCTGGCACACAATTTGCTATTAAGTAATTCCTCTGAATACAACTTCATGTGTCTAACATGATATCCCTAGTCAGAATAACACATATTTTGGAGAGATCTGTCGTGCCGTTTTTAGATAAACAATCATTTATTCATAAGTATGTAACTAAAATAGGACAAATTGGGTACTCTACAAACACTTTTCTAGAACAAAAACTAAGGCACAGAAATTAACCATTAATCTCAAGATATTGAGCTTTTAGTACGTCAGTGTAATGGTTTGCTGTGTGGGGTGGGGAAGAAGTTATATTGTTTCAAACGTAGACAAAAATGCCAACTTCTCAACCGCCACTGGCAAAGTTGCTTCAGGGCTCATTAACCCCGTGACCCCGAGCCGGGCAGTTCCAGCGGGTTGCTGAGTCAGGCGAACTAAAAGTAACAGAATCGGGCGAAAAGTGTCGCCCTGCTGTATGTCACTCCATTTCTCTTTTTGTTTCTTAGTCTTCTATCATTTCCCTTATATCATTCTATCTGCCTGATCTTCTTTCTGAACAAAAGTAGTAGTCAGCATCTGTGGTATACTGTGGCTTTCGGCCAGTGCATGCTGAAGATACGAGTTTCATTTCTGCTTTGGGAAGTATTCAATTTGTCAGGAACATTTACTTTAAGATTCTAGAGCTGTTTGAAGACATCTTGCTGGCTCACAGTGTGCATCTATCCTTCTCTATCTCTCATGGATGGTTGAAGGGCGATGCTATTGGTAGTTTCTGTTCCTTATCAGTGTCTTAATTGTTTCAGTCTGTCTATTTTACTTCTTCCCTGCATCACTTTTTTGTCGATCTTTCTGTAACTCCATCATACTCTGTTGTACTCTCCATTTGGCCGTTTGTTCATTGCAATCTCTTCTTCTTTCTGTCCTGCTATTTACTCTCCATCGTACTCTCCCTGTGCCTTCATCATTTTTATATTTTCTTCTCTCCATCCTGCCATTTACTCTCCATCATACTCTCCCTGTTCCTTCATAAGGCCTATATACTTTCTCCTTCTCTCCATCCCGTTTCTTTGTCATGCTCTTTTCTTAACCCTCTTGTGCTTCACTAATGCTGTGGTCTCCTGTAGATCTGTTTTGCCTGAGCGTGTAACGTAGAACATATCTGAGTACACGGCTTAGAATCTAACCTGGTAAAATTAATAAAGTACAACCAACCTGCCCCCTTTTCAAACTGCTCTACCAAGTGCGCAACATTCGGGGCCACAGTGGGGTTGCAATCATGTATTATAGGAACAGAAAATGGTGGGGGGTTTTCTGTGTAGGTGTTTTAGGCTTTTAACCACACAATTTAGGTAATTTAGGAGACAGGCTTTGACCCTGCCTGTCAGTATCAACCTGGTCTAAGAGGGATACAACATCCCTGCAGAAAAACCGAAATACTCGATAAAACATTTCCCCCACATGGGAATTGAACTCGGGTCTTTTGTGTGTGACGGCAAATTGCTAGACTGTCCTTTGGCTGTGATTGGTGTGATGTGCAGAGGCATGGGGGGTAGGGGGGTTATACTTACTCTTACCTTTAACATTTTATGCACAACATAGAACTTTGTAGAACACTATTATGTACACTTCTTTGTTCATGTAGGCAATATAGAACATGATGTAGTACTAAAAGTAAAACATGATATAGCACATGTACATAACAAAATGCATAACACTGTGTATCATAATCATACATAGTATATAGAAATCACAATCAACATAACACAATACTTATTATTGATATAGTATATATCTTGGTGCATGACATCATAATACATAACATAGTCATAGTGGTTATCACTTAGTACATGGCTTGAAACTTGACATGATATTTTAAAGAATAAATCACATAATGCAGAATGTAATATTAATACATTTAACAGCATGAAATGTTATCAGCATTTTATATTGTCAAGTATAGTTTTCACACCAACTGTGTGAATCTCTTGCTCATCTTACTTTTAAAATTATTTGTGAGACCACTTGTAGAACAATGTCTTACTTCTGAGACCACTTGCAGTACAATGTCTTCAAAGTAGTTTTGGGCTTAACTCTTTAAACGCTGGGAGCGTCCAGTACTAGTGACAACTGTTTTGTTTTATTTAGTGCCAGTTTTTGCTTGTTTTTCGGAACTCTACCCGATCTAAGTTTTTTAGTAATGACTAAGCCTTTGTTTACACTATTAAGAAGTTGGAGGCAAGCTTTTAGGGTTATAATGAGACATAGAGCACTAGGTTTAGGTGACAGTAGAAAAAAACCCTCGGGTAAACGGTGGAAAAAACTCAGGGTTTAAAGAGTTAACAAGTTGAAAGTTGTCTCGATGATAGTGAAAGTGTTTCGGGATGTGTTTTTCTGCTTGTGCTGGGCCGTTGGGTGGAGGGTGCCACTGATGACTGGTACATCCTACTTCTGGTCTTTCCCTCCATTGATCCGATCTGTCTATTTGTCTGTCTGTCTTACTTTTTCGCAGCTCTAAATGACCATTATTTTGTCAATATACTTTTCTTGACTGAACTGTCTGGTTGTCTCTCTGTCAATCTCTGTCTCTGTCTGTCCGTCCATCTCTCTCTCTCTCTCTCTCTC